GGGCACCCCCTCTTCGCCCGCAGCCCGGCCAGCACCACCCCCCGCGGGCCGCAGGGGCTCATGCAGCCGCCAAGGTAAGCGCGGGCAGCGGCCGGCGGCGACATCCCCAAGGCGCCGGGGACACTCCCCTTGCCACCGCACTGATGGGGTCCTGCCCGGCCCCGCGTCTCGTCTTGCCCAGATCCAGAGCTTTGCCGCGCCTGGGTCGCCTTAGCGTTTGGCACCAGGAAAGTTTTGCGGTTTAGTGTTGGTCTTCTCTTTTTTCCCCAAACTGCGCTGTGCCGGCCCCGGGCACTGCGCGCGGTCGGGCGGACCCGGCGTGCGTCTCTCCCCGGCGGGCGACCTCTTCTCATCCACCGGGCCGCGGCCGGGGCTGCCCTCCGGCTGTCTCGCCGTGAACCCCTCTGGGCCCGCGCCGCCCCGGCATCCCCTTCCCCCTCGGCGCGGGGCTGCGGGGCCACCGGGCTGAGTGGTCCAGGCGCGGGTCAGGTCCGAGCGCCTTGCGCAGGGACGCGCGGGATTTCGGGGGAGCGCGGAGGAAGGGGTGGGGCTCCCCAGAGGTTCCCAGGCGAACACAGCGTGCAGGGCATCGAAAGGACTCAGCGCCTGGTTTACGCCCTGGCTCATCGCGGAGTATAAACCGGGGCAAGGGACAGGTGTATGTAGGGGGAGGGCGCATGCGAAGCGCTTCAGGATGTAACCCTTGATTGCATCTTATTAATTGTAATTGCATTAGATTTTCTCGGAGGTAGAATCAATTTCCCCAAATTGGGATTTTAATGGGAGCCTGCTATTATGCGGTTTCGGAAGGCGTTGGGTTGTATTTCTTTTATAAATTGGGTGTCTTGCGGACGGATTAGGGGGAAATAGCGCCATCTAGCGGAAGTGGTGAGCTGTGCCTTCCTTTCAAGCGGCAAAGTTGGGGTGTTCGCAAAGATTCCTGCGCTGGGTGAAGAGGCGGGAGCAACCTTCGCGTGCGGGAAAGGCTAGTTCTGGGTGTCCCTGTTGTCCCCTGGAACCGAGCGGAGCTCAGCACGCCTAGCTCAAGAGACAGAAGCACGGGTTTACTGAGTATCATGCTGTCACCTCCAAGACCTCTGTCATTTCTCCACCTGGTTTTAGGATCCTTCAGCAAAAACGTAAGGTGAAATGTTACCGTTCCCTTGGCAGCTGTCGTGGGGACCTGGAAACCCGTGCGGGCCCTTGCTTTTCTGCTGCGCATCACAGACAGGTGGCTTTTCAGGCGGATCTGTCCTAGGACAGGGTTGATGTGCCTGCCCGCGCGGGAACAGTGCCGCGTGCCCCGATGGCATTTCTGCCCATACAAGGGGGGGGGTCTTGCTGCTCCACTACCCCAGCAGGTGACAAGCAGCCCTTTGCCGGGCTGGATCTCACATTAAGGACTCGGGTAGACTCCGCTAGATGGCTCCCAGGGTGCACAAAGGCGCTGGGTGGGGCCCCCCCACATTACCGCCCTCCTCCGTATTCTCTGCGGGAGTTTTGTGCTGTCACTTTCCGAGCCTCGGATGTTAGCAGTGGGCTAGCTGGGGTCTCCCTTTTCCGAAGGGCGCGAGCACTGTGGTTTTCTGCTTGTGACAGACACTTCGCCCCTGGAGATCCTCTGAGCCCTTGGTAATGAGGGAGCCCAGGCTCCTTTTGTTCAGGATCCCTGCTCCTATCATTTCCCTCCCAGGTGACAGACAGGTGCTTACGCCTTACCCCAATACACATGTGGGGTTGGCTGTCTCTCCAGTCTCGGTATGGAGGCGGGCATCTCCCTCTTCCCTCCTTGCAAACCTCTCCCTGAACGCTGCCCCCACCCAGGTGTGTGCTAGACCCAAGGAAGGCGTGGAGGCTCCTTTGCATATGATCCCTGTGTGTCTGAGCCCCACCAGTCTCACATGAACAGTTCTCAGAAGAGCAAATGCAAAAGGAACACACCCTGAGCGTCCCTTCTCCTGGACAAAGAGTGTCCACGCCCCCCTCCACCCTCTAGTGTTGCTTGCTGCCCCCAGGAAACGGCCAGCCACAGATGCAGGCTCTTCCAGTTCTGAAAAGAAACTGACCGCTGGAGAGGTGAGGGCGCCCGGCCGGGGTTTCAGGAGTCTAACGTGCTTTTCTCCTCTTCAGCCTTGCTGGGTGAATTAAGTTTAAGCACTTCCTTTCAGCAAGTGTGGCTGCAAAGCTTGGTCATGCATTAAAGCGTAGCGGCGTAGACAGGGAAGGAGATGTGGGCCCTCGTCCCTGGAGGCGCCTGCCATCCAGGGAGAGGACGTGAAACTGAACAAAAGTGGGGCAGTCAGCACAGGTTAATTAGAATCTCTTCATTCTGTGAAATGGGATGAGCACCACCCTTCAAAGGCGACTGTTAAAAACAACTTTCCGATGTCTGAGGTGGGGCTCCTTGAGGGGATTGCTTTGCTTTTCAAGCAGTATTCTGTCATTCAATAAAATAAAGCATAAGTTTAAGGAAGAAGAGAGGCCTCCAGGCCTCCCTGCTTGTCTGATATCCCCAGCCCTTTCCAAAGGTCGGGCTCCCCCACGCTCCCCAAGCTGGGCGTCCAACCCAGGGCCTCATGCATACTGGTGAACACTTAGCGCTGAGCCGCATCCCTAACCTTTTCTTTTTTCTTTTTTGACCTCTGAACACTCAATAGGCCTCTCTTATCGCAGCAGCTAAAATGGAGCAATGACTCCGGAGAGGCGAGGGAAGACACTCCGGACTGCGTCGCCCAGGTGCTCAGTTTCCTTGGTGACAAGTGAACAGTTTTAGGAAGGATTCCCAGTTTCATAGCCAGGTGTGTCCTGAGGAGAAAGTGTTCCATCCTATTAGAACTCAGGGCTTAAGATGCAAAGAGGCCTACGGCCGTGTAAAACTATCCTTCCAAGGGCAGGAAGAAAAAGTTTTGAAATTTAGGGGGCAGACACTGGCAAAATAAATGTGAATATCTTGTATAGGCACATTTAGAACATTGTAAGTTATTGTTAATTCGTGGGCCTAAAATGCACTGCAAACCTACTTTTTTTTTTTTTTTTCTTTTTTTGTTTTGTTTTTTTTCCAGTACCGGGAATCAAACTCATAGCCTTGCATTTGCCAGGCAGGCGCTGTGCCACTGAGCTAAATCCCCAGCCCCCAAACCTACTTGATTTATGAAATTATGATATCCAGATCACTACAGGAAAGAAGGAAAGTGCAGACAGCACAATTTACGGGAGAGTGATTACAGAATCGCTGGCTGGGTTTGCTTCCCATTCTTCTGTGAAAGCTAGGCTGACAAATGCAGAACTTTCAGAAATCAAGGTACTACATCTGCCAGAGTCTGAAAAGCAGGCAAAAACCTGGAAAACAAAGGACTGTATCGATCATCTGGTAAAACAAGACCAAGTCCCATAGGCTGTGTCCCCTGTCGGCCAGAGCAGAGATATGCAGATGTGAGGAAAAATGCCCTAAAATTCGTTGACTTCTGTCTCCTTGGGGCTTTTTAGTAGCTACAGTCCTCTTGTGGGTTCTCCTTACTTGATCTCCCTGGACTCGCAGATCTCAAGATCTTCGCAGCAGCCAGCTGTGGCTGACAGCAACAATCTGTCCCATCGCCTGGTAATACTCTGCTCTTCACCTGTCCCGGTAAATAAAGCTATTCTGCCCAAGTCCTCAGTGAGAATTGCGGTACCATTACTTTAGTCTTAGCATGCTTGGCTTCCTCAGGGTAGAGGCAGACAGTTTTTCACCATTTGTAGGCATTTTGAGGAATTTTTGCCTTCATGATATCATTAAACAATGTTAGGTACAAATATACAAACACAGAGACACGTAGGAGAGGCTTCTAAATATACTGCACCATGTACACAGTTGGCGGGGTCTACTGACTCAGCGTGGGCTACTTGGAATTCACTCTCCTGCTACACTTTCCTGCACTTCCCAGCTGACTTTATACGCAATCCCTATAGGTTGTCTCCAGATCTAGCTGAGTGAGTTGCTTTCACTAAGCTCGATTATCTCAAACTCAGATCGCCTTGACCCTGCTGGTTACTTTCCCTAGCAGTGATACCATTTTACCTGTTAGGGCAAAGTCTGTGCCTTCACAGCGACTTTAATATCTTTTGTGGGAGGAGGTAGAGTATAAATAATGAAGATCTTCAAATGCAACTGCATTTTCTCAGATGCACATCCACTTACACAAGGGAGGCAAAGCAGAAAGAGACACTGCCTCGAGAGTGCCTCACCCAGATGCTGGGGGAGGCGTGGGGAGAGATCACCGTACAAGTGCAGCTGCTGATAACCCCACACTGCTATGTGTGGGCAGCTTACTGCACAGCACATGGCATTTGTAAGATTTTCTAACTCAGTCATGCCTCAGTCAGTGGAGCTAAATAGTTTGATATTCGTGTTCCAAAATACTGATTTCAAAAGGCTTCCCTTGCTGCTGATCTCAAGATCACGTGGCAGGACAGGCTGTGTGCCACCTTGTCCAGACTGTGCGGGTTTTATGTCACTTTCATTTTTCTCTGCTGGGAGCATTTTGAGAAAGGGGCTCCCTAAACTCCAAGTGCCTGATTTCTTCATGACCAGTGCATGCTGTTGGCAGGGTCTACTGACTGAAAGCCTAGTAGGGGACATACTGACCCTGGAGCCTGAGTTGAGAATCTAGAAGAGCAAGAAAAGCCAAGCACCTGGGTTAAAATTTGATTCTGGGCATAGTGGCACATGCCTGTAATCCCACCTATTCAGAAGGCTGAAGCAGGAGGGTCCCAAGTTCCAGCTTGAACAACTTAGCAAGACTCTGTTTCAAAATAAAGAAAAAAAGAGCTGGACATATGGTTCAGTAGCAAGTGTGAGATTCTGGGTTCAATCCCCAGTAACTGCACGTGCATGCACACGCGCACACGCACACACACACACACACACACGTCTTCTGAATTGAGACATCTTCTAAGTGACTTGTGAACCAAAAACACTGTAATAAATTGATACTGTAGGTAGACTTACTTAAAGGTTTTCCGGCTGCATACTTAGCCAAGAAAAGTACTCTGAATACTTAACCAAAAAAAAAAAAAAAATTCCACTTGCCATACA